GGGAATGAATCTGAGTAAGTTCCAGAAAAGGTTGAATCTGAAAGAACAAATAGTAGTAGTCAGGGAGTTATCTTTCAGAAAAGGCTTGTACATATATATGAATGTTGTGAATGAAAGTTAGTTCTAACCCCATGTAAGATAAACTAGGGAGGTAAGTAGGGCAGGGACCAAGCAAGTCATCATATCAATAGAATTCATACTAATAGCAATAGCAATAGCAGTTAAGACTTATATACCGCTTCATAGTTCTTTTATAGCCTTCTCTAAGTGGTTTACAGAGTCAGCCTATTGCCCCCAACAATCTGGGTCCTCATTTTACTCACCTCAGAAGGTTGGAAGGCTGAGTCAACCTTGAGCAGGTCGGGATCGAACTGGCTGTGGCAGAGTTTGCCTGCAATACTGGACTCTAACTACTGCGCCACCATGGCTCTAGAGAGGGATATAGTCTTCTCCTCCAAGAGAGAGAGAGAGAGAGAGAGCCTTCCTTTAGACCTCACTGGGATCTCATGGATCTACTTTGTGTATGGTGCATGATCACCATTAAAGGGCACAAGTGTTACATTTTGTCTTATCAAGAAACAAGATACACCCATAATTGCTGCTTAACCATTGCAGGGGATTAGTATGAATTCTATTGATATGATGACTTGCTTGGTCCCTGCCCTACTTACCTCCCTAGTTTATCTTACATGGGGTTAGAACTAACTTTCATTCACAACATTCATATATATGTACAAGCCTTTTCTGAAAGATAACTTTCCTCCCTGACTACTACTATTTGTTCTTTCAGATTCAACCTTTTCTGGAACTTACTCAGATTCATTCCCCACTGTGAACCCCGGCACCCCGACGTTAAATGAATTCAACCCTGGGCCTCCTCCCATCTCCTACCAATCTGACATTCCGGGCAGCCTGCTGACCCCCGAAAAGCCAACTGGACAGGTCAGTGAGACGTTCTTCCTGAAAAATATTGGGAAATGGTCCTTGTAAATGGGCTATGGGGGGTAACCGGTCTACAACTGTTCTTCCTCCTGGGATCTTCACTTTGTAATGGACAGTTCCTCTTGGTCTTCTTGAACAGGTACATAAAATTCCTCTCCCATTTCCTCTTCATGATAGGCAACAGTCCTAGCATTGGATTTTGATAAGATTCCATAGCTTCCAGAATTTACATTGCAGATCCTTGAAAGATTTTGTGGCAGTGTCTTAAATCTGGGAAGTTGGGCAGCAAACGATGCTCTGTGGAGGTTTTCTCCTGACCCATTTAAAAACTTTTCATAAAAACCTCACAAGCAACATCGTGACTTGGCAAGCCCTCCCATTTCTATAGCTTCTGGCTATGAAGTGGCAATTTTCATAAAACTCCCATCATGCATTTATCGGCAGCGTGTGAATACAGGAACAGGACTGTATTCTTTGGGTGATTTTCCGCACCAGCTGCCAGGAGGCCTTGTAAAGGCAGCTGAACAAATGGCCTCTTTCTCCCCTATGACGGTACAGGCTTTTCCCCAGCCTTACGAGGAGAATCCTCAAGAGAACATCCACAGAAAGCATTCTCTCGGGAGTCAGCAAGGCAGGGATGATCAGACAGCTTGCTCTGCTATGCGAGGCACTTAAAAACAAAGAGAAAGAAAGAAAACACAATATCTTATTCCGATCCACTTTTGTAGCAAGAGCATCTCATTTGAGTTCTAAGCTTCTTCCGTAGTCTTCACTCTGCAGAATATCCGTCCTCAACCTCAGATCCTTGAAATGTATATTGGTTTGTACCACCCATCTTATCCCCAAGCATGGCCATTCATGGGAATTGTAGTCCAACATCTGGAGAAGCCCTGAGAAAACAGCTGTTGAGTTCGCAGACACCAAGCAGCTGCACTTGTCAAAGTGGATTCAAAATAGATACGTCAGGAGGAGATGAAGAATTAATACTAAAGGTTTGGTGTTTAAGCAACTAAAAGAGACTAGTGAGACATTTCCCCCTTTCCTATAAATGTTGTTTTGGTGAAACTGACTTTACTATCATCTGAGAAAAGAGCTGTATATAAAAAAAAGAGAGGAAGAGCCAGGCTGGGATAGATTATTGGTCCATCTAATCAAAAACTCATATGTCATCGTGACAGGAAGTGGTGTTTATTAGAAGCTTCAGTGATATCATTCATTAGGGCCATGATGTCATCACACAGGTGATGCAAGCTGCTTAATTTGCATCAGTCACCTAAGTGTCATTTGCACAGCAGTAACACAACATAACATAGGAATACAATCAAGATCAAGGCAGGTCCTAATACCACTCTATAAAGCCTTAGACCTCACCTAGAATACTGCATCCAGTTTTGGTCACCACACTATAAAAGAGATGTTGAGACTCTAGAAAAAGTGCAAAGAAGAGTGTTGTGGCCCACCAGCAGCTGGCAGCAGATTCGGACAGTGAGGAGGTTG